GGCTGTGAGTGCCAGGTGCTGATGCTTGAGCTGCTGGTGAAGAGCAGATCTTTCCATTGAGGGACTGAAGGCAGAGGGTTCTGCTTTGCCTCAGGAGCCACAGCTGCAGCAGATGTTGAACGCTGTAGATGAATTAAAACTGAGTTTCTGTTCCCAAGATGGGAGGGGATCTTGTGCTGGTGCTCACAGACATGTCTGCTCACCTCACCTGGCCCTGTCCACCAGCAGCACCCAGCCCAGCCAGCCCCACCCCACCTCCCACTGCTGCAATTTTCCTCTTTGAGGAAAGCAACGCTGCCACTGCAGTTGAAAAAGCCAATTTAGGCTGCAAGCAAGAAGCATAGTAATAAAAACCCAGTTATTTTAGTGATAGATCCCTAACAGGAATCCTAAAGCCAACCCCAAAAGCTCATGAGCACCCACCCTCTACCACAATACTCAGCGTCCCGATTTCCTGGATGTCCTCCTTCCTCTGGCTGAGAGGGACAATGCTGGTGTTGCCTCCTGTAAAGGAGCTCTGGTCTCACCTGCAGGTCCTGATAGCCCCAGGGCTTCCTGACACCTTCCTCTGCCTCCCCTTCCTCCCTGAGCAGCGAGGAAGAACCAGAACCAGCTCCCTTCAGTGTTTCCAGCTGCGAGGAAAAGCCCAGTTGCACCCTCTGGGTGCTGCCAGAAGAGCTCAACACCAATTTTGCACCTTTCTTTGAAACACGTCCCCTCAGCACCTAAGAGATCCCAAGCCCATGGAAAATGAGTTTTCCCAGAGCTGTAACTGGGCTGCTTTTACATTTGCAGGGCTGACAAAAGCACTTTTCCAATATAAAGGAAATGTCATCACCAAATTTTTAGAGCAAAAAAGCAGAGAGGAATTAGAAATTTTCTGTAAATACTCAAGAGAATATAAAAGGTTTTAACTTCATCTTGTCTTTAAAACAAAAAAAAAGTGGTTTTATGAGTTGTCTTTCAGGCAACTTCTCCAAATTACTTCTACCAGGGAAGAACAGCTGGTGAACTCAAGTTCTTGCCTTGGTTCCATACCTTGCTGTTCCTGCCTGCTGGATCAGGCTTTTGGCACACAAATTTGCTGCTTTTAAGAACAGAGGACAGGGACTTTAGAGGCAGGGTCAGCAGATTTCAGTGCAGATGGTTCCACCACAGCTCACAGCCACAATTGTGGTGAATCTCCCATTTATAAATTAGTGATTTTCTGTGGTGGCAACACGGCCTAGAAATTTTTGCCCTAGGAGGGAAAACAAGTAATTTTATAGCTCACACGAAATTGCTCTCTCTGCTGAGACTACCAGTCCGAGTGCCAATTACTGATAATTACAAGTGATTTCAGGGTTAATTATTTTCTTTTTTTTTAATGCCACGCCAGCTTGCAACAGAGCCTTTCTTCTTTCTGTCCTGCCACCACAGCATGCCTGGAGACAGCTCTGGGGCTTTTTCTTGGTCTTTACTGAGCAGTTGCAGCCAAAATCCTGCTGCTGGAGCACATTCATCCCCTTTTTAAATTCTGTAACAACACACATTACTGAAAGAAAAATAAACACTTAATCCCATCACTGCACTGTACATTGCAGTGACAATATCCTGCTATGTGGCTTAAATAAAAGGAATGTGTAATAATGTATTATTAAAGTACATTAACGTGCATATAATTTATTGCATTAAATGATCCATGTGCAATAAAAAGTGCCAGATGAAATCCTGCCATATTCTCTCCCCCAGCCTTTTCCCCAAGGCAGCATTAACTACACGTGCCCCCTGTTTTCCAGTGGATGTTCCTTGTCATGAACATGTTCCTAAAGGAAAAATCTCTCTCATGAACCTCCCTGATGAACATTTGCCTCTGGGACAGCAAGAGGGAAGTGGGGCACAGAAAGAAAACATCAATAAAGGATCCAGGATGCAAATTCAGCCTGGGACAATCCTATCAGGGACAGCAGGGACACATCAGCACCTCACCCAGCTGCCAGGGGCTGAGCACACACTGATGTCTTCTCTGCAGAAAGGCAAAACGTTTCCTTGTGAAACCCCAGAGCTCTGCTGCTTTACTGGCAAAGACAAGCTTCAAATAAACAAAGACCAACTATTGGAAGTCATTGGTGTCCGTGGTTCTCGCTTAAAACAAAAGGAAGGAAATGGAATATAAACAGTTGGAGGAACAGCAGTGCAGGGGAGGCTCAGAGGTGGAAAACTGCTCTGCAAAAGCCATGCAGGAATGTCCTGAGGTAAACGTTCCCCCCAAAGGGAAGGGGAGACTTTGGTGGAACTTTGTTGTCCTTTCAGGGGGTCTTGAGCCTCCACAGCAATTTATTTATCTGAACATTTCACATTAGACAGTCCTGGGGAGCCCTGGGAGAAGATCTGCGTTTCTCACTCCCTCTTTGGAGATATTCCAGAACTGTGGGACACAACCCTGCCAAGTGCTCCAGGAAAAGCCCTTCTGAGCAGGGAGGTTGGGCCACTGCAGCCTCTTTCCAGCCTCACCCATGCTGTGATTCCCTGCAGGTACCAACTCTGGGCTTTACCAGGCTCACACCATTTCCCAGGAATGAGCAGCTCGTCGCCTTTGATGACTCTCTGGGCACATTACAAAGCCCACCTGTTTGAGGGGTTTCACAGCAGCTAACTTCTCCCCTGCAACGCAGAAGAGCTGGAAAGGAGCTTGTGCAGGTGTTGGCTGCAGCCATCACCCCCCTCACTGCTGGAGCTGTCATCAGCAAAGCCTTGGCATGGCCCAAAGCCCTGGCAAGAAGATTCTTTCTTTCATTTTTTGTTCATCTCAGTGCATAACTCCCCTAAACCAGACAGTGCAGCAGCAATCCAACTAAAACATAGCTTCAGGTGCTGCCATTCCACGGTTTGAGGTGGGGCTGGCAAGGGCTGCCCTGCCCACCTGCTCCCTGGGCCCAGCAGCACCCAGTGAGACAGAAAATAAAAGAGCTCTGAACACACAAAATCCCTTCCCACACCAGCATCAAAGGAGGGCAGATCTCTGAAGCATAACAAGCAAATAGGAGAGAAAATCAACACCTCGAGGCATAGAGGTGGAAGAAAAGACTTCAGAAGGGAGAGGGAGAGCAGAACCAGCTCTGCCAAGGATGACTTCACTACTGCAGCTCTCCAGAGACACAGACTTGAACGTGGAGTTTCAGCTGAGACAAAGCTCCTGGAGCTGTGAGACACTGCTGCTCAGGAAGGAGAGGGGCAGAGAGAAGCCCTGTGGTGTTCAAGGAGCAGAGATTAATTCTTGGACTAAGGAATGATGAAAATGGGACTGTTTTTACTCTCCTGGGCATGGTTAGCATCACTTTGGAAGGAGAGGTAAGAACAAGTATCTACAGCTTTTAGAGTCACAAGTGCAGCCTGAGCAGTCACTGTTCCAGCAGCATAAGGAACTTTTTCTCTGTGTCAGCTCTGAGTTTGTCTCAGGGCACACTGGGGCAGCTGGGGTTGAGCTGCAGTCCTCCAGGGCTGTTCAGCACACAGGCACTGCCAGCAGGGCTCACACAGCCAGAGCTCCAAAGCAAACCAGCCCAAACTCCTGTCTGAGGGCTGCAGGCCATGGCTCCCGGGCCAGGAGGGATCCATTTCCCTCAGGACACCACCCCTGTGTGCCTGATGTTCCCTGCAGCTTCTCAGGGGCACCGACTGACCACAGCCCAGTGCAAGTCACCAACATGTCCAATCCCATCTTCAGAGCTGGGAAAAAGGCTTTTCCCTCAGAACTGCAGTTTCCATCTTTTACCTCCAATACAACATGCAAGACAAACAAGAGCAGTGAGTTATTGGCTGCGAGTTTATTACACAGGGGTTGGCATCCTCACTCAAAACCCTGCCTGTTTCAAGCTGTCTCCACTGCAGACAGCAAACACTGACTCCTGGGAGCTCAGGAGGGAACTGCTAGAGCACAGCCCGGTCCTGCAGGGCTCTTGCAGAAGCTGTTACTGCAGGAGTCTGGGAATTGCTGATCCAGGGGTCTCATGGCAGAGCTCAGGAATATTTCTCCTCATTCCTCATACAGCAGCATCAAACCCCTGTGATCAGCATTTTGCCATCACTCCAGATGCTGGCCAGTGTCACTCAGTGTCAGCCCTACCTGCCAGAGCAAAGCAGGAGCTGAACCAAGACTTCTCAGTTCTGATCCTAAAATCCACAAAGCCACCCAGAGGTTTGGAATGACTATGGATGCTGCAGAGCGAGGAGGAAGAGGGCACATGGAAGGAGTGGGGTTCCAGGATGTGTGATAGGAATAACATACATTTAAACAATGTTCAGTACCTTCTGTAGTGGGATTCAACCCCAAGAACTCCAGCAGTTGCCCTGTCAGGGGATTAACTGGTAAAATGTTAATTTTACTAATGAATGTGGTGGCATCAGGCTCTCCCCGTTTGTGCTTACCCCAGTGACAGTGCCAGGGCTGTTACTCCACAGGATGGGGATGGAGTTAAGGCACCTTTACAAGCTTGCAGGAGCCAAGCCAGCAGCCCAAGGCAAAGCAAATTAACAGAGATGTTTTCATCTAACTATTCTCATGATTTTCGATATTTTGTTGCCTTAAAAAGAGCAATTCCACCATGTCCCAAACTTCCCATGCTACAGTCACATCACTCCTCTGGTTTAGCTCCCATGAACATTCCTGGATACACAGATACTTTTTTTTTTTAAAGTTCAAATGATCACCAGGACAAAGTGTTTTAACATGTTTTAAAATTATCTAAACCACGATATCAACAGGCAGGGTATCAACCTGTTATTTCTACCTTAAGTCTCCATAAATACAAAGTCTTGATCAGGAGTGACACATGCTACATAAAAAACTGAAAGAAAAAAAAAAAAAAGAAAAAGCAACCCCAAACCACTGAATTCTCAGAAACTTACACTTTAGCTGATCTGGAACCATCTCTGCTATCAGTGCTTATACACTAGGACAAAGAGGCTCTGGGTAGAAATTTAACTCCGAAGAAATGCAGACACATCAATGACACCAGGGGTTTTTTAAAAGACTTTTCAATTTTTATACAACAAAAATTTCAACTGAAAATACTTTTTCACGACAGTGGAGCAAGCAGTAATTGCCATGTGTGCATTAACAGAACATCACAAGCTAAAACAAAGATGGACAACATCACAAAAAGGATCAGACACTCTCCTCTGCTTATCTGCTGTCCAACCTCAGTCCGTGGCAATAGAAGTGTTTTCTGCACAGGTCTTTGCAAGTGAGTTCACAAATCAAATCTCTACAGCTTGAGGGTTCTGCATAGAAATCTCCATCCCTGTGAGATGGGAACAGGATGTTCCAGCACAGTTTCCACAAGAGTTCCACAGTTTCACACTAAGATCTACACAGAGAGCACAGGGTACAGGTGTCAGTGCTAGAACAAGGAGTGAGCCTACACTCACTGATGTAGTTTGCTTCAAGTCTCTGCTACACATCTGGACGTGGACACTGAGTGGTTGTCTCTGCTTCAACTCCCTCAGAACTGAGCTCACCCTGGAGGGAGGCACCTGCACAGGCTGCAGGCAGTCCTGGAGCACCACCTGGTACACACAGGCTAACACTGACAGTCCATCACTGCTTGCCCTTTTAATTTATTTTCTTTTTTCCCCCTAAACCAAACTTGCAAGTAGGTAAGACCCCAATGCAGTAATTAATAAGCAAACTTTTACAAGCTGACTCCAGACACCGCCTTCCTCCAGCACAACACAGGCAGCCTGGTTCTTCTCCCAGCAAGCAAAGGCAGAGGCATGGTGGGCAGAGGTCCATTCCTGTGGGCACACAGCTGGCATCCTGCTCCTGCCCCCAGCCTTCCAAAGGGGAACTGTGGGCTGCTTCAAAGAATCCTGTCATCTTTTACCAAAGGAGAAAGCTACCCCTCCCTTCCAAGGACAATGGCTTCAGTGACAAACAAGTCCAAGATTCCAGGCCCAGCACAGCAGTCACTGCTTGGCCTTTTTCACAATGGTGCCCACAGCTGAGATCACTGTGGTTTTGGAGCCACTGGCACTGGTTGTCACTGTGACAACACCTGGCAGTGTTGCAGTGGTGGTGAGGATGGTGGGCTGAGCTATCGTCGTGACAGGGATGGCAGAGTCCCACTTGCTCTTCCTCTTCTGGGCATCTGTAAATTTGATTAAACCAAGCACACAAGGATTAGCATTACCTTAGAGGTCACCAATCCCTTCTGAACACCCTCTCTTGTCAACCCTTAATATCCCACTGCTTGACCAGACAGCTTCCCCTCACATTAATTTCAGGATTCACTGGCAGCAAATGGTGAGGAGGAAAGACAACTTTTCTCTGGGGGTACCAGGAGTCAAAGTGGAACTTTAGACCTGAACTCCAGCCAAAGAGGAGACAGGATCACTCACTCCCTGCCCCAAAGCAGATTTCATTTCAACAGAGCACACATATCCCACTTGCTCAGCTACAGGCACTGACACACTCATCAGCCTCCAGTGGTTCCTCTCCCTTCCCCTCAGTTTCCAAGGCAGGAGAATGATTTCCATGGTTTCCAAACTTCAAAATCTATCAGTCCCAGGAATACTCTATAACCAGACAGCAGCAGGCTTCTTGACCCACTAATAAGTCCCTTCATTATCCCACCTGGCCCCAGTCTTTCATTCCAGAAGTACAGCCATGGAATACAGGGACTAGAGGAAAGCCAGGCCAACACCCTTTAGCAGAAACACTCCCTTGCATTATATACAGGATCATTAAAGAGCTACAGGAGAATTAAGGCTTTAGGAAGCACTAATCCCAGCATAACTGCAGCTTAAGGGGTACATTCACAGCTATTCTTTACCTCCCACAGTGGTGCTGGATGTTGTGGTGGTTGTGGAAGCAGCACTTGTTGTTGTACCCTTTTTAGTGCCAGTCACAAATTCGATCTGGGAAGTGAGACACACAGGAGAAATGGGAGAAGATAAAAAATTGAAATGTTAAGATACACAGCCTTTTTTTAACCCACAGCACTTCTCTGTTCTTTTTAAAAACAGCTTTAATGTGATGTAAGACACTGGATTGGCCTCTGAGCTGCCCATCATGCAGGAAGGAAGACACAGAGTTCAGACCATGAGAAGTTAAGGATTAATTAAGGTGCAACCCAGCTCCCAAGTCTGATACAATAAAAATGTGTTTTTCAACTGGTACAAGCACAAGATTTGATACAGCTCAGACAGGACAGATCCTGGATATTAAACACTGTATTTATTCAGTTAGCAGTTCTTATTAGTTTTCCTTTAAGGAACATGCAAGGCAAGTCCCTGCTTGCACAATTTATTGTGACTGCATCACAGCAGGAAACCTGGCAACAAGAGCTCCAACAGCACTGCAGCCTCAGAACTGCAGATCTGGGCAAGGGCATGATCAGATACCCGGGCTACTGTGCAAAAAAAACAAAACAAGCAGCAAGACACAGCATGCACTGCATGAAAAACCCTCCATGTACTGGAGATGGAAGGAGTCTTCTGCAGCTTAGGTGGAAATCTCTAACATTAGACACGTTCTAATGCCAGCCACTGATTTAAAGGAAACACAGGACAGGAATGAAATCTCTTCCAAAGCATGTCTGTGCTCTTTTTGGGGCATATCTAAGAATAACTGTCACAAAATGCACAGAGTTAAAATAGGCCCAGCTTTTCTGGAAATTGGATGCAACAAGGCAATATCATGGAGAACAGAAAGCAGATATTTTCTCACACTGAGACATGATGAGGAAATTAAGCTTTAACTAGGCTAGGCACCAGGCAAAATGTCATAAATTAAGGAAAAAGCTGTTCTTTATTCATTATCTAGCCTGTATCTGACTTACTGAATGCCATTTTTAGAGCTCTGGTTTAAAAATACTGACAAAACAGCAGGAAATCCAGTGGAATAAACAACCTATAAATGGACCTATAAGGAAGGGCAAATAACTTGATCTGTGCAGTTTGGGAAAAGATATGCAAGAAGAAAGGAGAGATGTGGGATAAAACAAGCAGTTGCAGCACAGAAATAGCAAAGCAATAGATTGAAATTCAGCAGGGAAAGAAACAAAACCCTGCACCTGCATCTCTTTAGGTTTTGAGTGGGTACCTTTGTGCGTTCCTTCTTGGCCTTCTCCAGTTTGTCCATCTCGATCTTCTGGGCTTTAGCTGAGAAAGAGCAGAAGATGTGAAGCACTAAGAACAGTAAATTTCTATAGTTCTCATTCACATACTTCCCATGATAAAAAAAATAGATTCAAATTCTATACAGAAAAATTAAACTGTCTTGAAAGCAACTGCTGCTTTTTAATCAAAGCATTGCAGCACCAATTTAATGATTTGAGAGATGAAAACATTGCAGAACCAATTTAAATTAAAAGCCTTTCCAAACTGATGAAGCATCAATAACATTCAGGCACATCCAACCAGAATGGAGTCATTGAAGAGCAACATGTGATGACTTCTTATTTATACAGAAAGTGAAGACTCCAGTGCAGTTAATTAAGTACAAAACACAAAGACCTAAGCAAGGACAAAAAAAGAGAGACTTCCTGGAATTACCTAGTGCCTCGTAATATGAATCCTCTGACCAGCCATGAGGATCAAACATGTCCTGAAAAGAAAGAAATAAATCAGATTAGAGCTATTCCCACAGAAACCCAGTGCAAAAATGTTTTACGTATTTCTGTTCTCTGATGATAATCAGAGGTGACAGTGAGAATCATCACTGATTTCTTCCTGCATCCCAGTGACACAAAGATCTCATCAGACCTTCCTTCATGGGACCATGGTCAGTTGTCAATGAAGAAACAGCTTTGAAGCAAAAAGGATGCTGGGGTAAGTCATGCATTTTTCTGCTACTCAGCTTCTTCTCTCCCCCCTCGAGGAGTTCCATTCAGACCTCCACACTTCAGCAGTTTTTGTGCAGAATCACTGTAGCAAAGGCTCAGTGCTACACAAAAATGTTCACTTCACTGCAGAGGCTGTCTTACAGACTGAGGTTGTCTTACAGGACTTCTAAGCAAGCAGGCTCAAGAAAACTTGAGGTGAGACTTGACACTTGTATGTTACTTTACCCACTCCTTTTCCAGGCAAAAGCACTCCCCTCACCTTTGGATAATTTGTACCGAGTTCATCAATGGAACAAAACTGGATCAGCTTTTCATAGATGCTGCAAAGGAAAAGCAAGAGGTCAGAACAGAACCAGGGAGGTAGGAGGGAACAGAAGAATTTCAGATGTGTCAACAGAGAGAGGTTGTCACCTCCTCATACTACAAAGTGAAATGAGAACCTGGGAAGCTCCACCTGCAATGATGGATGTGACACCCCATTATCCACAGTATTTCCTACTCCCCAAAACATCTCCCAGCTCCCAGAACAGTCACATTTTCTAAAGTACTTCATCCTGAGCCTTCACATTTAAAATCTAACCAACACACCAACTCCAGCTGCTGCTTTACCAAACAAAAAGAAGAGTTTTACTGTTTCAGTCATAAAATTGAGAAAGACAATTTGTAAGCAGTAGTCCTTCCTCTTCAGGATCCTTCTGTCACAACTCTAACAAAGAAGATTCTTCAAATTTACTCTGTGGTGCTGTAGTGACATGAAAAGATGGTGGCTCACCTGGGATTACGAAATTCCTTTTTCCTCTGGATGATGTAGTTCATATCCATGCCCTCTTTCACTTTCCTCTCATACAGCTTTTGAATTTTATCCTAGAGGAGAAAGGTTATAGGGTGAGCCAGGAAGAAAAGGAGGAGCACACCAGCTGACTCCTACATGTGGAGAGAAGCCAACTGAACCAGTGACCTCCTTGAGCAGACCTTTACACCAGGGCCAGGCTGCTTAAGAGACACTTTTTCCTTGAATGCCTGAAGTACCTTCATAAACTACTTAACTGGAAAAGGAATTATCTTTGCACTTACTGAAGGCTTTAGTGCTTAAAGATCTACATATATGGCAGTGTCCTCCTTCCCATTCTGCTGTTTCCCTTTACAGCCATGACACAGAGAAGCCAATTCTGGAATCCAGAGGTCGTCCCACAACTCACAGCAACCACCAACACCCACCTGCAGCCTCAGGTGAACAACTGAGAAACAGCAGCTGGGCTACACAGCCCACAGGGCAAAGATCCTGCTCATCTGTTACCCAGGCAGAGCCAGAGCCAAGTTGTGTTGGAGAATTAAACCCAGTGTGAACATCAGGTATTGCTGGGGGTGCCCACTGGCAACCAAATGCTCTCAGGAACAATGTGCTCATAAATCCCTGCTTTGCCACCAGTCAGATGGAATCAGCTTCTCTTTTCACATCACCCACAAGGCACAAGCCCATGCCAAAGGCAACTTAACTGACTCAGGTTGCAGATGTCAAGCAGTCTACTCTCCAAAAAGGCTAAAAGATTTCATATCAAACATGAGTTTTTCCTTCCTCAGCGAAGTGGATCAAAGTATGTAAAAGTATTCCTACTCTGGTGATGGTGAAGGGACAGCAGGGGCAGGAGATTTCAGACAGATCAGAGAGTTAAGTGGTACTTCTAAAACATCCTCTTTCCATCATCTTTCTTTATGACAGCAATTTCTCATGTGCAAGAGGCACACAAAACAAGACCAGAGGCCTTCAGTCTTTCAGGATGGGAGAAGCTGAGTCAATTTTCCTTTGTTGCTTCTGGATAAGTCACTTCATGTCTCCCTCCCTGGACAGTCAAACACAGAGCTGACTATTGTTTAAGGGCTTGCTGCAGCCTGAATAAAGGAGGATTGTTAAGAGCTGATATGGAACTCAACAACCTTAAAAAAAAACTTCTATAAGATAAATTTTCATCAGGTTGTCACAAAATCAGCAAGAGGAAATGACACAATCTCCACGTCCAGCACACATATCGTGAGGTTTGAAGGAATAAACTGCAAAAAGCTGAATCTGGGGAGTAGAAATGATTGAATAGGTGCTCCCTTTTATCCCCTCCCCATGGAGCAGCAAAGAGATTTCCCCAAGTCCACAGATGGGCAACTACTCAGTCAATTTTATAATAAGAAATCTTCCCTCTGGCAGAGTTCAAAATACAGTTTATCAGAGGAAAAATTTGACAAAAGAGCAAACCACCAGTGAAAAGCCCAGAACATTTTGCATTTCTAAGGAACAATCCCATCTCCTTGCTCAAAGTGCTCTAAGATGTGGTTTGACCTGCCAACAGAGGACAAGCTCCCCTTTGATGTAGCACACTAAACTGCTGTCAAAGGGGAAAAACTCTGCTTTACTCTGTCTGCCCTGTCAAGCTCTGTGCATTCCTCAGGTCTAACACACTCCAGTTCATTGATATCAGAACAGTAAAATCCTCCTACAGCACTAGAGGAGGTTTGGGTGTGCCCAGGTATGGTGTGTGGAGAAGAAAGCATCATCTGGATGGTGAGTCACTCTGAATCACCACTGCATGTTAGGGGCTACTTTACAGAGCAGTCCAGGAATGATTCTTTATTTGTATTTCTGCTGGGCAGAAAACCAGAGTTAAAACTCAGGTGTGTGTTAGGACACAGCAGTCCCTGATCTTTCATTTGCACTCAATGAGAACACAGAAAGTTATTGCAAACTTGGTCACTGCTGTTATTTGGGTGTGCACCAGAGAAAACATGCATTTGTGTTCTTTTGTTGCCTCTAAGCTACCAGCCTTCCCTCTAAATGTTTACCATCCAGAGACATGTAGGTGGAAAAGGAATCCAGGCACTGCTGCCTCAACTATTCCAGTTTAGGGGATTTTGGGCCCGTATAGAAAAACAATTTGTTCTTTGCTAGGGAGCTGAATTTGCTGAGGTAAGAGGAAAGCAGCCCTGACAGCAAACATTGCTTCTGTGTCACTGCTGGGATCAAGAGTTGTTTTAAAGCATAAGTAACCCATAGAGGCTGGAAAACTGCTTAAAGCTACCTTGAGATTCCTAAACTAGAACTGCTGTAAAGCCTAAAGCATTAACATGCTGTGTTCATAAACTCAGAGTGGTAAAAACCAGCTTTACTGCTGGAGCTTTGCCTTGTGCAAAATTACTGAGCAAGGTTCCCAAATATGCTCTGAACTACAAATCTTTAAAAAAAAAATAAATAGATGAAGTGGACTTATACCAACCTGCAATTGGTTAGAACATCTGCCAGGAGGCTCAGGAGGGATTTTGATCTCATCTGGAGACATGTTCCGCACTCTCTCTGAAAAAGAAGCTGGAGAGAGCAAACTGGGATGAGTTCTGGCACTACTGACAGGAATTTTAGCCATACAAGTCATTAAATTTGTTTTATGTCTTTGTCAGCACTACTCCCTCATTGGGAATCCAAGGCAAAGGTGATGAGAATGCTGACAACTGGTACTTGTGGTGTTTTCAAGGTGCTGAGCAAGAAGCAACTAAAGAACCTAAAGGTTGGGTCACTGGAAGAGAGATGTGAAGCTTGTTTTATTGATACCTACACTCTTGGAGGGAGAATTGGACCATGCATGTGGAGGAGTACAGGATCAATTTTCTGCAGTCTGGCTCTTTGCCATTTTGGGGGAGATAATCACTTGGTGACTATTTAGCTCAGGACATACCTGGATGAACCAAAATGGTTCAAGGAGGGAACAATGCTCCCCAAGGCTGTCAGGAATTAACCACAAGAAATTACATTTCATTTTTAAGTTAACACTTCCTTACCATGCACTTTGATCTTTGCTTACAGAGACAGACTACTGCTAGAAAGAACAACTCGTCCTGCAGGACTGGGAACAGCCCAGTCCAGATTGCCAAATTTCCACAGCTGTTTGTACTGGGATATACTACTAAAGTACCTGATTGCCCTGTAAAAATTAGTTTACAGAGTTATCAGCAAAAGAAACAGCCACATTTCCCCTCATTGCTTGCTAATTTCCCACTACTATGGGAAACCCAGGCAGTTTTCTGGCCAAGCCTTGGAGCAGAGATTTGTGCCTCATTTAAGCAGCTGGGATTGTTTTCAAGCATAATTTGTCCAGGAACACTTCCCAGAGTTGCTCTGTAGTGGATAAGAGACCTGAGAGCAGCACAGAAGTCACATCAAGCAAGTTTTTCACTCGTGCAGCTCCTCAGTTCCACATTCCTCAAAAAAGCTGCCTGAGCTGCAGCTCCAGCACCCAGAGCTCAGCTCCTGTGAATGAAGGCCAGGAGGTCCCAAAGGCCAGACAGAGCTGCTGGAACTCTGCAGAGCTGAGGCTACAGATAAACAACACCACACATGATCAGTGCTGCTACAGTTTCCATGTCCTTTGTAAAAATATGAAGCACTAAGGACAACATCCTTTGGAGAGGAAAAGCTGGCAGGCCACCACTCAATTCTCTTTGATCAAGATGTTGCTGAGGGTTAAATTCTTCAGCAGTGCCAGTAACGAACAAAAAGTGTCCTTTGGCATTTACCAAGTGGGAGCCTTTATGGAAGGAGGAAAGCTTGCCAGAGTCCCCAAAGAAAGGCAGGCAAAGGGAGCTCCCTGACAACAAGGCACACATTTATTACAGGTTACAGCTGCTGGTGGGATGGGGAGGCCTCTGGGTTAATTAGAGCTTCAGGAAAGCCAGAAAGACAGTGGCAAAGACAGCAGTGTGGATAATACACAGCACACAAGGCTTGCTGGGAAAGGTAAAAGCTGATTAATGGCTTAAGAGGTTTACAGCATCAGCAGAAACATTAAAAAAAATTTAAAAGGCCATTAAATCCAGACTTCATAAGGCAAAGAAAGCACCTGAAATAAAAATATATTTTAAAAATCAAGCCTAGCTCCCCATCAGACGTCTCACAGGCTCCCTTGTCTTTGCAGATGAGCCAGAGAAACAAAACACTTATGGGAAGGGGAACTGTGTGCTCATATAAACTCAGGAACTCTGGGCAGGACCTCTGTTTTACTGGCAAAAAAATGTCCAAGTCAGAAGAATATCTTCAGCAATCCATTCAAAGCCCCCTTGAAAAATAAATAATTTTGGAGGCCGAACAAGAGCTCCCAATGAGACAATATATTTTGATACGTGACTTTTCAGATTGGTGCTCGTTTCCTCTTTTGTTTAAGCCTTATGAAAACAATCCTTTATCAGCATTATGGGGGGAAGCATCTTTTAATGGTTTACAAGGAACTGGAACTAGGGAATCTTTGCCTCCTGCAATCCCACCAGAGCTGGAGGCAGCTGAACACTGCCAGCAGCAAGGCAGGACATGCACCTCATAAACTGAGCACAAACTTGCAGCATTAGTCAGTTATTTCATCACTTTAAAGCCAGACTGAGATGCCACATCATTAGGAAGAAAAGGGTGAGTTTAAGGGTGAGTTTAACCCCTTTGGGCTTATTTACAGTAAGGAAGTACAAATTATCCATGCCCTCCAGCAAGTCCTCAAACTTGCTCCCTAAACAGATAGAATGGCTGAACCCACAGCATCTTCACAGCAGCTCCTTCCCTAGAAATCCTGGCACTCGCATGTATGGCCACACGCTCCTGTAAAACACATTTTACATTTTCCAAGTCCCGAGGGCAGCTTTCCACCATCTCTACAGCAATAACTGCAGCTCACTGAACAGCTCACAAGGTGTGTCCTCACAGGATACATCCAATTGCTCTGTGCATCCTGTTATTCCTGCCATGATCAAAGTTTTACTTTGACATGAGTCACAGGTAGTGACACTGGCTTCAGCCCCTCATTTGCCCTGTGATTTGCAGGCTCACAGCCTAGAGGATCTCCAAGCGTGGACCTCAGGAAGTGGCTGTTGGCACAATTAATCACCCCAGGCACACCCAGATTCTGGCTCACACTAAGTAAATATCTTCCCCAATCAGATTCTCAGTCCTGACAAAGAACTAAGACTGTGAAGCAGATCCCATGAGTCAGATGGGGGTTCAAGAAAGCAGAGGCCACTGCCCCTGAAAGCATCCTGCTGCTAAAGGACACTGTTGCTGGTGCTTAGACCATACATTCTCCTGCCATAAGCTGACCTAAAACTTAAAACCTTCATCAGCACAAGCAATAGGTGTTTGTAGCTTTTGTGCAGTCAGTACATGCACTGTGGTAAAGGAGAGCCACTCCTCTGCTCCCAGGCCATGCACAGCAAATATTAGGGGTGTCCTGCAAAGACTCAGCACCTCAGCAGTCAGGGAAGGATGTTTGTTTGCTCACCTCATCTTGGTGAGGCAGAAAACTAAACGGAAATGCTACATTTAATGTGCTTCAGTTTGAGATAGGTGGATTATGTGACCTATATCCAACAGCAAGAGAGAAAGTGGCACAGTGCAAACTGTGAGCTTCACTTCCAGAAGGAAATGACTGCTCTCACTCCAAAGGCTGTGCTGGAGACATGGACAGAGAGCACACAGGAATTTTGTTTCCTACAGATGGGCAGGAATGTTTTCCTAGTGCAGAGAAAACCAAAAGAACAGAGAGCACAGGAGCTGGATGTACAGGACAGACATGGTACAGATCATGGCTCTTGGATTAATGCTGCTCCTAGGTAGGATGAAGAACTCCTGTCCCCTTCAGGGGTCACTTGTATGTTGTGCTTGAAGCAGCCATAAGGGATTAGAGGCAGTTCAGGTGCCAGTTTGTTTCTGAAGGTCACACTATACAAATAAAAACGAGGAAAGAGTGATCAGAGTGACAAGGGTTTCCCCTGGAGAGATGCAAACCGGTGGTGCCTGGTCTCTAAAACTGCATTCCCTGGCACTCTAGTCATGGCTGCTTGGCATAAACCAGGGTGTGGGGGGGTTCTGATTTCCTGGCACCAGAACAGCCAAATCACAGGGAAGAACTGGAGACAACAAAATGCCAGTGAGTCACTCATCCATGGAAGGACACCAGGTCCCTTTCTGCTCCATGGGCTGAGAAATGCAGAGGGAGACCTGCAACCCAGCCATACTTTCTGCTCTTATGAACCCTGACTTTGTGCTTAGATATCCCAAGGGCTGGAGAGAACATTTCTTATGATCCAAAAGGTAAACAATCATGCTGCAAAGAACTGCAGGGCAAAAAAACCCTACATCCTAAAAGTACCATTTGCAAGGCTGCAGGAAACAGCAAATGCAATGTCGTGGCAGCACCATGAACCCTTCAGAGTGGTATGAAAAGCCCAAAAGGAGAATGCTGATGTAAGAATCTATGAAAATAAGTTTCATATTTATTTCCTTCTCAACCAGGGGGCTGAAAGCTTCCCTCTCAATTCTGTCAGCCATTGATTATGTGATCACTGCTTTGGCATAAGTCAGGACAACCCAGCAGCTCATCCCTACTGTTTCCTCTGTGCCAACCCCAGTGCCCACCTAGCATGCACTAAGCACACCAGGGAATGGATCCAGCTGGAAGCCTCACAAAGAAAAAAAAAAAAAAGAAACAACAAAAAAAAATCAGTGAAGATGGATCCCAGCTGGCACTGATTCCTAGGGCTGCTCCAACATTATTGTGCATCCGGGGGAGGTAAAACACAAACAGTGCTTTTGGCAGGAGCCTACATTTATTTAATACTTAAGCAACTGCACAATCATAGACTTTAATAAAGGTGATGCTGAAAAATGTAGGGTTATCTTCTGAGAAGGGCAGGCCTCTACACTTTTATTACAAAAAGCAGTTGTAGAAAACTGTCCTAGGAGGACCTTGACTTCCACAGACTGATAGACAAAATTTGAGGTGCCCAGATTGGAGCTGTTACTTGCTTTGTGTCAGAAAATCTTGCACCTTTTTCCATTAAAGAATTTTAACTGTCAAAGTCCAATTTTCCAGAAAGGGAGGGGTTCTTACATTACTCCAACTGTAAGTCTCTTGCAACAGTTCCTTTTCAGCTAGATAAGATATGGTCTAATGGAACAGACCTACATAATCCAGCATGACAGGTATGCTGACCTCTACTAACCTGGATCTGCACAGAGCCAGCCTGCACACTGCTGTTGGGAAAGAATATTAAAGATAAGATTGCAGACATCTCAAGCCAGGTCTGACACCCTCCCATACTGCTCACCCCTGAGTTGTCACACTACCAAGTGCTCCCTGTGCTGCTTTTAAACCCTTTGCTCTCGGCCATAGTGAGAACAAAGAAATCCAGTCTGGCCAGTCACTGGGGGAAAAGAACAGAATTGTAACCTGAGTCTTACACCTTCAGGAAGAAAGGACTTCCCACTACATTGGTTCACAACTGCACAGCTTCACCCATGTGTAAAATACAGAATAAAAGAACAGTTGGCTTCGAGAGATTTTGCTGGACTTTTTACCCCAAATGCTGTTGTCTCATCCATATTTCCAGGGTGCATTTTGAGGCAGATGGGTGGATTGGTGAAAGATTTCTGTTGCATTTGATGAAGAGATTGGTTGAAGCAGTTTTGCCCTCTAAAGGCAGAAAATCCAATAGAGCAGTTGCAAAGTCTGGGCATGCCAACTAAAAAGGACTTTAAAATCCCAGACTTCAGTGATGGCTGCTGTAGAAGTCAAAGCTGAGCACCTGAGTATTTACCACCTTAATTTACACTTATCACATTTTATGGCTGAAATAGCAAACTGATTTGAGAAATGAAGCAACTTCCAAAATCATTAGTTTTAATGATATTTAATATGATACCTTACAACTGCAGGAGTAACCTCAGGAACAGAGGATCAGTTCAAGACAGTCAGAAATGGAATATAAAATACAGTTTCTGTGGAGCTCCAAAGAGGCCAAACAGAGGATTATATTTCACGCTGAAAACCCTGGACTTTACAAATCTAATAATGGTGCAATGAATAAATGAGATGTTACAAAAATCAAGTAAGTTTTAGTAACCATTAGAAAACACACAGTACAGCATGTCAGTACAGCAGCTGTAAATCTCCAAGTGGCTCACATTTAAATAGGGATATTTTTTGGTAAGTTTTGGAAGCCACAGAAAAAATTCATCACTTCTGGTTCCACTGGCTCTGTCTAGACAAAGCTACACTATTGGTTGTAAGCTCATCTAGAAAAACACCAACACTGCCCTTTACATACATGTTTTAAACATGAATTTATTTTCATCTTTTTAGGCATGAAACCTTTCTCCCAGAGAAGTTCACTGAAGATATTCAGGCAGTACTTGAAACTACAGCATTGCCAGGGCAGAGGGAAGATGCTTTTTACAAAGTGGGATTTACAAGGTCTATCTTGAAAAAAACTCTGTGAATAAATACTTCTGAGTGAACTTACCAACTAGCTCCTGAGGATCTCTTTTCTCCACTTCTGAGAATTCCTGCAAAAAAGAAGGTACAAACAGATTTTAATCGAGTTATGCCTCCAACCTAGAAAGCTTCGCTGTTTGTTCATTTATAAATTTATGACTATATCCTGAGACAATAAAATAAAAATTAAGAATGACAATTTATTACATAAGAGGACAGTGTCTGGACCATGGAAAGTCAAAGTCTAACAGGATGCTCCATTTCTTTGCAAAGCTCAATTTAATGAGAGAATTAAGGCTTTGTTTCACCAGGTCTTGGACACTGAATTCCTTTGGAATTCTACAGGAACTGCTGCACTCAAAGCATTTCTTCAAAACAGATCAAACCACATATTGTTTATTTTTGATGACTGGCCCTGGGCACCAACCAGGAGTCAGTGTTTTAGAGCACAGTTATGTGAGCACAGGCTGGACCCAGCCTGCAGGAGACTCCTTTAGTCCTGGGAATGCCAACCACAGGCCAGGGCAACTGCCAGTGCTCTGAGCAGGATCAGCCTGGTGCACTCCCCAGAGCAATGTGACAACAGCCCACATGTCCCAGAGCCACAGCTCAGTGACTTCAGGGCAGCTCCTGATCAGCCTCTCCAGCCTCCCAGAGCTCTGCAGGGTCTCAGGCTGCAGAGGTTTGCCAGATGTGTGTGTGTGGTGGTGCAGATCCTGTGTTCCTGTTTTAGAAGGATGATCCCACTGTCAGTTCTCCTGCTGCTGCTTTCCAGGAGTGATACAGCCAACCTGCTCTACCACAGACTCAAGGGCAACCTCCACTGGCTTGGAGATCTCCTCACAGCTAATCCTTGCCTTACAGAAATTAAGGACACTTCATTTGCAGATGTTTATAGCAGAGTGTGCTGAGCAGGGGGCATTATGTAGGATAAGACACTCTTAAATATGGTTTCACCATACTGAGAACAACACCCAAATATTTTGGTGCTTCTGGGAGATCCTAGGAGAGTCACAAGAGATATCAAGTTCAGCACAAATAAAGTTTCTGAAAGTACCAGCTGTATCCCAACACTGCCCTCTCTCCCTGCCTCCCTCCCTCCCAAAGACCTTTTGTGACTCATTGGACTGTTTGTCCAAAATTCCTCAGTGCCTCCAAACACTGAAGCCATTCATTGAACCTGACACTGACAGAATGTTGCCTCCTTGCTGCTTGGTAACTGCACCCTGACAACCTGCTTTTCTCCATTTCCAGTCAGGTGAGAGGTGCATCAGGTGAGGAGAGAGCAGTGAGGTCACCAAGCCAGATGTGGGAACAGCCTGTGCCAAACTCACGCTGAAAATGACCCATTTTCAGAGAAGCCAAAGCCCTATGGAAGCAGAAAAACAAATCCTTTGTGCAGCACTGACTGCTACAGGGAATTTTTACAGCCATTCATGGAAGAGATACAAAAAAAAAAAAAAAAGGAAAGCACTATTTCTGCATTAGTACACTTGGATCACAAAAACACAAGGCTAAGGCTATTTCAGAAAAAGAAAGAAGTGCACAGAGGAACATGCATCTTTCCCTGGCCAGCTGGCCCTGGCCCCTCTGAGATGGCTGAAGTGTCACAGCTCCAGCCTGTCTCAGACAATGCCTCTGGTGTGTGCACCAACAGCTCTTCTCCCAGGGCCTCCAGCAGCAAGAGAGAAAAAAATTAAACAGGAACATGACATTTCAAAGCAAAAACTTCATGCCAAAGCAGAAGTTCTCTTTAGTGAGAGCACTGGACAGGAATCCAGGGAATCCAAACTGTGCTCTCCCCAAAGCTACGTGGATGGGGAGTTCACAGCCTGAGAGTGGGGACTGAGGTCACCACTGGAGAAGTGGAAGCAATTCTGTGGTAATGGATGGGCTGTGAAGATAAACCCAGATGAGCACGAAGGCTGGAGGAGCTCACAGAGCTGCAGATGCAAGGTAACATCTGTCCAGGCACATCCAGTGACTCACCAGCAGTAAATACACGTGGTCAGAGGCTGCTCATTCCCTTTCAGGGGGCAACTCGCTAGATGGGTAATTAAAACTCTTTCTCACCTTGGTTTGAGACAACAAGCAAATGTTTGTTGAGGTGAAAGGAGGGAACTGCTTCAGCTCCAACCTTGACTAAACTACATCCTGCATTCCCATCTCTTGAAAGTTGTAAGTGGAACTGAGAGGGAAGTGGAAGAGACAGGCTGTGTTCCTGAGCACCTCTTAATCCTTCCTCACACCCAGCACTGCATTTATTATTCCATTATGCTCCCCATCTCCTTCTGCCTACTTGTCCTCAAGGGCAAGAGAAATAACCCCCCAAAATAGCAATATTGCCAAGCAGGCACTTAGGCAACCCAGTGGCACAGACAAATTCAGGAGCATTAGACACTGGCTGCCTTATCTGGGCCACTAACAGCCTTGCAGGGGGCTGTGCTGAATTTCTGACTTTTCCAGAAGCCCATTTTCAAGTCTCCTGTATGCCTGGAGTTAGAACCAAGCATAAGCACACAGCTCTCAGGAAACATGAAGTAATAAGCTGAGAGAGAATCTGATGGCCAAACCCTCTCCTGTCACGTACCTTACATTAAACAAAGATCTCTGCAATGTCAGATGTGTTAAACAGTATATTCTATGACCTTCTAGAATCATCAGGAAGTTTGCTTTTACCAGAATTTTCTCCTTTAATTTGCATCCTTTGAGTGTGACCCGTTTATAACAGGCTAAATCAGGCCCCAGTGTTTTGCCCTGGCCCACACTTTGCCACCACAGCTGCAGGTCTCAGCCAAGACATCAGAGAGCCCAGAGCTATACCAAGCAAAAGCAAACACGTTCAGCACTGCATTGCAGCCACACCTCACTGCCCAGGGGACAGGAATTCTGCTTAGTGATGAGTTCCTTCATACCTCCACCCATCCTGAACAAGCTGGAGACATCAACACTAACCCAGGCTGCTTTCAAACCTCTTAAATGCCTTCAAAAAACAAACGGATGACCAACTTCTCCTACAGTGCTTGTTCATATTTGCTCAGCTTGCTGTTGAAAACTACGAGGCAAGCATCAACAACTTGACCAAAGTTTGGCAGATGCAAGGTTTAAGAAGTCTTGTTCAAACTTCTGAGTATCTACTGAAGATCCAGAACATTCTAAAAACCTCCAGCAGAGCAATCACACAACGAGAACTGTTCTACACTCCCTTAGGCTAATTGAAGTTTGAGACAAATGATGAGTACAATGAACTGATTAGGAAAGACAGCATAAAAACCACAAATCTGCAGATCTAATCTAATCCATTAAGTGGAATGAAATGGAGAATCACCAAGTGGAAAAATAAGGTACAATAAATACTGAGAAGTTGCTACCTTTTGGTTATGAAAGAGAAGAAATATTTATGTGTGGATGAGAGATTTCTAAAGGAATTCCAAAGCATTTAAACAATGGAAAATTTGAAGGTAACTGAATTTCATATAGGGTAGTTACCTAAATCCACTTAGGCAAAGGTGATCTCTCTGTAGATTGTATCACCAATATCTACTGGGTTATGTATCAGTATCTCACATGGAGCAGAAAATCAAGCATGTGAGTGGTTCCATTAGGAGGGATTTTATGTCAAATCTCCCTATCAGAGTAAATATATGAAATTATTAGAAATTTCAAGCATCCCATAGCTAAAGGCATCACTTAAAGGGTTCATTTCCATTTTAATTCTGAGACATTTCAAACAATAACAAGATTAAGACTTTGCTAGTGGCATCTGTACCGCAGAGTTTTCACAAACCAAAACCCTGAAAATCTGTACAGAAGCAACTCTAAATTCACTTCTGGCTTGACTGAGTTTAAAAAAAAAAAAAGCAAAAAAGCAGTACTGTGCTTTACCAGCAAGTTGATTTTCTGGCTGCCATCTACTCTGCCTTGATCTCACAAGACCAACAGTTTAAGGGCCCAAAGCCAGATAACCTCACTCCAACAGAGCCACTGAAAGGAGTCCAGGGATGCCACAGTGCTCTAGAGCCAAACTGGAAGAAGACCAGAAACACAAAAACAAGCAGGAGGGAGACTCCTTTCCCCTGATCTGGAGACTAATAAAGAGCAGACTCTGAAGAGCACAAACTGCTATGGACAAAGTATTTAAAAAACCCCAAACCACATCTTTTTCATAGATTTCTGTGCTTCTAAGAACAATTGTGCACATCAGCTCACTGATAGCAGACAATGCTAATGCTGTTACTAATCCTGTTTGAGTATAGGAAAAGGTTTTTCATTTTTTCCACTTTGCCAAGACAAATGTGGTTTGTTTTTTTTCAAGCCCTGGACAAGATGACTGTGCCTGCAAGAGCCTGGCCCATGAGCACCCAGAGTGCTGGTTCAGTTTGCATGTATCATCATCAGTTAAAGAGGAGCAAGATGAAGGAGTGTGTGTACACACACATAAGGAAAGTGCTGCATTTTGTCTGAAGCTTTCACCTCACTGGGGTGAAATATAAACCATCTTTCAGTCCTACAGTGGCTCCATCCAGTTACATAAAAAACAGTGTCTGCTCAGGCTCCATGGAAAATAAAAACAACCAAACACAATCATCACAGCATGGAACAGAGATTAAAGGAAGGAAGCAAAACAATATGAATCTGAGACTGAAGAATTCCAGTTTGGACAGGCTTGCCCAGAACAGCTTTATTTAATGGAAAGAATGGACTGACTTGAAACAATGCTCACTAAATACTTGCTGAAACAAGATCCATAAAATCCAACATAACTGCTGGCACGAACTGTCGCCACAAGGTACAAATTCAAGCAATTCTTGCAGAAGCAGGTGCACATGTCAGTGCAGGTGCACTTCAAACTACCAGGACAAAGGGTTCAAGAGGGAGGCAGAAGATACAAAACCAGACCCTGATGGCTTTAACTAAGATGCTCATTTTAAGAAATGGTGAAGTTGATGCCAGGTTTGCCACCACTCAGCTGCATTCCCAGACTTGCAGCCAACTGAATCCTGCAGCTTCATTTTTCCACTGACTTCCAGGTAATATTAAAAACAACTAGCTCAGACAGTCTCTCCTCCTC